ATGAATGAAGATGCTAAAAGGAGTCACATTTACTTCCAAACCTTAAAAACAGTTGTTTGAAATCCTCACAAGCAGAAGTATTAAAACTTTGTCTAAAGACCTGACAATTCAAAGTCTGCCATTAAATAAAAATAATAAAAAGAGCTACAGAGTGATGCCACCATACAAAGGAGTCTTAGTTTGAAGACTATAGTCTTTCAGGAGTCCTCCTCACACAGAGAGGAACTGTTACAGAGAACATCTTCAGTGAATGATCTCATGATCAGTGTAACGCAATGTCTCCCAATACAGGATTTTCCCCCGGCAAACGGTAATCCCGACTCATCTGGTGATTTGATGAAGTTTATTAATTAATTAGCCCATCTCTGTTCTAAAAAGAAACCCTGACGTAAAATCTCTGCATATACAGTTACTAACATACAGGTTTTACTTGTCTTGTTTCCATGTTAGGTTGCATTTTATTCCCATGATTTTGTGCACACAGAACTGGATTGAAACTTCACAAGTATGTGTTAGAGGTTTGTTATATTGGATTGCGTAGCGTGTGGCTGCTTTGTCCACTCCTTTTCTTTGTTGGGTTTTTTTTTTTCTAACATAAGTTAAATCATCTGCCAGCATTCCTCCAGCTTTGATAATTAAACTGGTTTATTCCCTTTTTTGGCTTGAGGCGATCCTAATTATTCTCCTTGTATAACACCAAAGCAACACCTCCACACAGAAAAAACATGCAAGCCAAGTTTGAACTTCTCAACTGCAAATCAACTACAGTTTTTATCATTGCTGCTTATTTTTCAGATGCACTTTTCTACTATTTCAGGCATCCAGTGTTACCCCTTAGTTTCCTAAATTGCAAATGCATCAAAATTAATGGGGAGGATGTCAAAGGCTATTTGATTTTCTCATATTCAATGAAACGATAAGTCATGTCTTACATTATATTTACATTATATTCTTTTTAGAATATCTTGTAGAAGATGCAGTCTTTCATTTGGGCTTGTTGTTTATTAACCAGTAAAATTTAATTTAGGCTAATAATCATTACAGCTCACTGCAACAACTAACCTGTTTCACAGTCTACAGCTGCTTGATGTAGATTAGATGGTTTTACAGGAAAGAAACATCATGCCAGCAGTTTTGCATGGATAGGAATGCATTAGATGCCTGGAATAGTAGGAAAAATACAATATTATCATAAAGAAATAATCTTTTTTTTTAGTGCTAATAAGATATTGATTTGCTGCCACACTGTAGAGAGCGAAAAGTGTCGTGCTTCATAAAAGGACTTCAGCATAAATCAAAGATCCTGTTCTGACTTCTCCAAAAAGAAAAATACTAAATGCGGATGCTGTGTTTGTAGTATATATTGTACTCTAACTGAAAAGGCTATCTGAAGTTGCAATGCAGGAGGCAAGTATCAGCAGGGGAGCAGTTTAATTCTCCCTTATTAGTAAAGCTATGTAAGAAGTGTATAATCTGTTTGGTTTTTTTGTTGTTCTTTTTAACTGCTCGGTTGTTTCTGCAGTGTGTGTTTATATATTTTATCTAAAGTTGAAGCTTTTAATTGTTGGTGAAAGAATTTCCTCTAACCAGCATTGTTAAATATATCTATTGGTATACAGTATAGAGTAAAAAGGTATAATTAACCCTCCCCCACAGTCAACGTTTTGTGATGTTTCCTAAAATTTAAGTACCAAACTTACTGAGCGGCTTACTGCTCGTACACATAGTGCAACACACTACCTAGCCTAATATTTATCTGAGGATGCATGACACTTGCTATGTATGTTACATATAATGACTTTTGTTATCCTATTTACAGAAAGTTTGGACACAATCAGACTTATTTTATACCTTTTTATGCATGCGATTTATATAAATGTTCTTTGTAATCATTTTAAAGGAGTTTCTGTTTAACAAACTTTTATGTACCCCTAAATAAAAACATTGTTTCTTGTGATGTGCTGAGTTTGTATTGTACTTTTCGTACCAAACAAAATTCTCTCCCTTACAGTTCTGAGGTTTTTACGTATTAAATAACAATAAATTTATCCAGTCCTTAGCAGGCCTTTAAAATTAAACACAACCTCAAAGGAGCAGTAATAAATGATTCATTTCATTAACAAAAACTGAGCCACAATGCAGAAGTAGTCCTGAAAAACTTACTGCATCCATAGGAATTAAGAGGGTATGAAATTTACTAGATTAACTGATCATCAGCAAGTGTGGGCACCTCTATAAAAGCAGAAGTTTTGGAGCATTCAGGTGTGTATTAACACAATGCCTAGAAGGAAAGACATCAGCAACGATCTTAAAGAAGCGGTTGTTGCTGCGCATCCATCTTAGACCGCCTTTATTTCTTGTTTTCAGTAGCAACCAATGCCTATGATTGTCCCAGAGCACATTTTGAACAACACCATCTGCATTTCAGATTTCACACAGGTGGCTAATTGTTACACTCTGGAAATGAAATGAAGGTGAGTGTTATTAACTCTCTGGGGTTGTGTAAGCGGTTATAAATCATTTTGTAATGACATTATGAAAAAAAAAAAGAGAAAAAAAAAAAACCCCTCCTTTCTATTGATGGAAAAATGTACCATGTCGACCAGTTTAACATGGTTGTTTAGGAAGAGGGGAAAGTTTTGGGAGTGATGGCAGAGACACATAGAGCAAGTTTCGAGATGTTACAGATTTGTGACATTTAGCGTGGAGTGTACAGTTAGTGTGTTGTGTTGTCTTGTATAGTTAGTATATTCGTTGTTTCGATTTGTGTGTCAGTAAGGCACTAATGAATGTCACAAAGGTAGATTGCAATGTAAACACTGGCCCCAGGTGGATGCTGGAGACAGTGTCTGCTGCTGCCTGCATGCCTGCTGCTGTCAGGCCTGCAGGTTTTGGGTCTGTGGTGCTCTCCTCTGTCTTGTTGCAGACAAGCATGTATTTTTTTTTCATGGATTTTTAGATAAATAATTGTATATAACTTTATTGTTTACAAAATGTGTACATAGGTTTTCATAATCTATTATTTATCATTGCATTTCAAGTTATGAAAATAATTTGCTAACTGTTACTAGGATTTTATGTTTTTTGTGCGATTTCAGATCAGTTGGGCTAATACAGTATGTCAATGGAAAAATAACTGTAAATTCAGACATGTGAGATTGAGCTGAAAACAATGATACCAAGCAAGGCAAGGTAAAATAATCAAATAAATACATAAATAAACAAAACAATTTGAAGATAAAAATACAAATGTAAAACCAAAAGTAGCCAAAAAAAAAATCACCAATTATACCCTGGACCTCAGAAGGTTAACTCAAAAAAAATAAATAAATAAATAAAAATCATCAGGTATAAATTGTTGTTCATGACTTGTGCAGGTTTCTGACATTTTGTGTAAAATTACACATGTAACAATCTGATTTTTTTTTAACAAAAAAAAGTGTGAAACTTAAGTTAGAATTGTTTTTTGACTTGTATTTGTAAATGAACCGCCCCATGTTGTGGAGCTTTCTGGATTTTATATTTATTGGGCTACATATTTATTTATTATACAGGCTATACGATACATAAAATCCAAATTCACATGTGATATGTAACTGAAATGTTTAATTATGTGGGCTACAGAAAATAATTAAGTTATGGACTATATTTACCACCCAATTTGATTTCCATGCCATCCTAAGAAAATTTCTCCAGGTCTGCCCTTGCTGATATGTGAAACATTGGAGTTGACAAAGGGTTTTGTTTCTTTCTTTTTTTTTTTTTAAACCATAAAAGACACATTAATGGCAACTCATTCCACTTCATAACAACAGGCAACACAGATGCTATCAGCCATCCAACCCACAGCCATGAGCATTGTGCATGCTCCTCTTGTGCTAACATGGGTGGGCACTCCAGCTTCTTCCTAAAGCCTAAAGAGGTGTGTGTGAGTGTGTGAGAGAGACAGAGAGACAGAATATGTGTATGAAAGATTGCCTAACTGGCAACCTGTACAGGATGTTAAATACAATAAAAAGATTAAAAAAAAAAAAAGTTTTCCAATGTATAAATACTTAAATGGTGATTTTAAGCTGCTTGATCACTCAGTTATTGAATCAAGACCACTGTCAAGTGTACTTGCTTTGTCTCAGACAGCATTTGGGGCTGTCTCGATTCTCGGTACGTTAATGTGTTTAGCAAATTTCCCCCAAGGGGGGGGATTTGCAGAACAGTGAAACCTTTATTCATACTGAAATTTTAAATTATTCAGAAAAACAAAGACTTAAAAACAAATGGTTTTAAGCAGGACGTGTGGGGAGGGCAATTACCTGAATTTTGCTGTTGAAGGGAAACTTTAAGAACTTCACGCTGTCCATTGTGACTTGTGGGGGCGTGGCGTGAAGGGAAAGCCCGAGCCACATGCATTCAGTCATTCACGGGTTTAAAATGATTCACTGCATTGAAACGACTGCCTTGTGTTCATCAAGCCCTCTATGTAAGTATCTCATTTAATGGGATTTTTAAAAATGATTTTTATTTTAATCTAATAATCCTGACACAAGATTTAAACTTGTTGTTTAAGACTGTTGTTGGATTACTTATCTCCTGTGAATGTAAGAACATTTCTATATTTTTAATTCATCCACGAAGTCTTACATAAAAAGGTGAGTAGTATTAATAAGTTAGCTCATGTAATGTGGCTCTTTGTGTTGTTTAATGTGAGCTGACAAACTGATTACTGTAGGGTCTGTTAGTGTATCAGTGGATTTTTAGTGGATTTTATCAGTGAAATACGAGCGAGAACATTTTTGACACAAAACATGCCTTCTTTAGTTTGTTATCCATCCAACGTGGCGACCTTTGGGACCCCAAGGACGACTTTCGGATGTAGGGACTTACCTGTGGGATATCTTATCGATTCATTCATATTTTGGTTAGTTTTAACCGGAAGTAAATTCGTGGGGGCGTGGCTAGAATTTTCGGGACTTTCCGAGCATATTGGAAAGCGGTGAGTTAGCACAACAGTGGAAAGGACATATCACGCCACGTTGCTAATAACGTACCGTCTGGCGTTTTGCGTCACGGACATCAGCTAGTTTTTATTTCCCTTCCTCAATGTTGTGGCCCCGCGCGTTAACGAAGCGGAAAGAGACTGAAATTCATGTTAGCAGCCGTTAGCATTAGCAAGCTAACGCCCGTTGCAAAGCTTATAATCATATCTTTCTTTAGCTGCTTGCTAACCGTGCGTTTTGGTTCATACTTTGATTGTGCGAAACAAAAATGTAAATAAACCAAGTGCCCTCCTAACCTGACATGTTAATTGTTAGGACACATTAAATGGCTAAGACGGGAACTCTGTTGCGTAATTACAGACAGCTGGTGTGGAAAGTACCTGGCGGAAATACCGTACCTGCCACTTCAGTTTACAGCAAGTATTGTCCCTTTTCTCCTCCAAGAACGAGAGCCCACTTTTGAATGCGGTCTCTCCTTGTCAATCTTCGCACTTTCAGTTTTGATTTATTAAGAAGTCAGTGTCAGGTGGGTTATAGGATCGCTCCAGCGATTTTTCACATGAAGGTCAGTAGATCTGTCACGAGGTCTAGCTGCCATTTGTTGTGTAATGGTTTTGCACCGAAACATCTCTCGAAAGTGACAGGAGTTGATCCTAATTTTATGTTTTAAATATATCACTTTGGAGACTTAAGCTTTAGCATCAAAACAGTTTGACGTTTGTTTCTGTGACCTGCCGTGTAATATTATATCAACTGAGCCTGCAAGATTTTTACTGCTGAAATGGCCATGAAACATAACTACAGCATGTCTTATGTATGTTTTTTCTTGTCATCTACAGATTCTGCTGATATAAAGGAGGCACTCGTGTTACCCCTGGAGGATTAATTTTTTTTTTAATTGTTTTGTTTTTATTGAATTATGAACCCTTAAACACCCCCAAAAAGGGATGTCCAAGATGGGGGGAGGGGTTTGAGAGCAGGAATTCCTTGGTCTGTGTGTGTGCGTGTGCGTGTACATCTGCTAGAGGCAAATTTTTAACATGTTTTGTTTGTTCGCATAACCATATGCTATATGTTTGAGTTGGAGCGGTTTGGTGGCATGTCAGATATGTGTTTCCTAAGTGTGCATAACGATCCTGGGTGATGTCATGTTTACGTGTGCATTTTACTCACGCTGTGTCATTACTGCAGAGGATGGATTTTGTTTGACGTTCATCTGCGTTAACTGTGGCTAAAAGAGAGATGCTGACATTTAGGCAGTTCAATGTTTAAGTTCAGGTGTGCCTCTTTGCTAGGCATAGGTAATATGGATGCAAGTAAAGATTGCATCATGGTTGTGGTGAAACAAAGTTTTTGGGGTTTTTTTGCACAAGAGCTCTTAAGCTTTAATTATCTTGATCTAGCTAAGAGCTCCCTCCTCTTTTGCATCCTTATCCATTCGTCTGCTTACCTCTTCGGCATTACTGAGTGTGTTTGTGTGAGAGAGCAAGACCTTGGGTTTTCTCAAACCCCTCTCCCTCAGAGGGACATCTCTTTTTCCTTATCTACTGCACTAAATTCCCAAAATGGAAACTCTTCTTCAGCTTAAAAACAATCAGTTTTTAATGGGTCTGTTTCGCAATGGGCCTCCACCTGAACTGCAATATGATAACTCCTCAGGTATATATGTACATTTTTTTTTTTTTTTTAAATTTATTTGTAGCTTACCTTTGAAACTCAACCAATTTGTTTTTATCCTCTAGAGCTCTTCCGCATCTCGACCTTTGCTCGATTCCCAACATCTGCAGTCACCGAACGAAGTCTGGCAAGAGCAGGTTGGTTCTACACCGGCGTGGGTGACCGCGTGCAGTGTTTCAGATGTAACGTGACAGCTGAGGGCTGGCAGCCCGGCGACTGTCCAACAGAGAAACACCGACAGCTCTCTCCTTCCTGCTCCTTCATCCAGAGCCTCCCATCTACAGCCAACCTCCTCTCCTCTTCTCATTCCGCCTTCTCCCCTCTCCGCATTGTCCCAGCGATACCAGTAAGATCATCAATGCATGCTTCTTCAAATAAGAGTTATTACCACTCAGATTTTGGAGTCACTTAGAAATGGCTTTTTTCAAACATTCGACACTTGTGGTCTAGAGCAGGGGTAGGGAACTCCAGGCCTCGAGAGCCGGTGTCCTGCAGGTTTTACATGTGTCCTTGATCCAACACAGCTGATTTAAATGGCTAAATTAGCTCCTCAACATGTCCTGAAGTTCTCCAGAGGCCTGGTAATGAACTAATCATTTGATTCAGGTGTGGTAGATCTAAAACCTGCAGGACACCGGCTTTCGAGGACTAACGTTCCATACCCCTGGTCTAGAGGATCATCCTTTGTGGATTTGATCAGTCTAAAAGTTTTCTATAAAAAAATAAATTATAGTAAAGAACTTGCCAGAATATTCTTGATTCAAGAAATTGGTTATTCCATCAAGTAATTTCCAAAAATATTGAGAACTTTAACACAACTCTGTGTACTGCTACTTTCACAAACGAGCTCAGTCCGCCTTTTAGCGGTATCATTTAATGAGACTTTAATGTGGGTGGTACACCATCTTCCACATTTTCCTATTCTAATTAGAGGTAGTTTTTGGTTTTCAGGTGGTGGTAGTGTTACGCATTATTAGAACAAGAACCTTTGAGGAAGTGGGAATTTTGAGGCTCAGCTGGGAAAAATTATTGGTCTATTATCAGAACAGTTCTCAGCTGTGCTAGTATAATTGACAAAGGGTTTTTCTAATGATCAGTCACCTTTTTAACATGATGACTCACAGGCAACACAATGCCTTGTTCAAAGATGGATAGATTAGATTAAATTAATCATTTACAAGTGTTATAATCCCTTTGATGTTAGATTAAAGTAAGCAGCCTTTTTAAAAAAAAAAAAAAAAAAAATTAAGGATTTTCTTATTGATATGTTACAATTCTCTCAATTTCTTTTAAACAGTTATTCTTAATAGTTCTTCACAGTAAGATTAATAGATTAGATTAGTGCCCAGAGGCACTGAGCTGTCTGAGTAAGTTTTTTTTTTTGTTTTTTTTTTCTCTTTTATTTAGCTTTCTGGTCCCGGCCCAGCTGCTGCTAACACAGCAGTAAGCCAAGGTGAAGAGCCTGTTGGCTACCTGAATATGGCCTTCTCTGCTCCTCCGCCCTCCAGCCCACTGAGCTCGCGAGGTGTTGAGGACATGTCCCACCAGAGACCAACATGCCACAACCCAACCATGCGCAGAGAGCAAGACCGCCTGGACACCTTCCATTCCTGGACGCTCTCAATCATCATGCCTGCTGAACTCGCCAAAGCTGGCTTCTATTACCTAGGGCAGGGCGATCGAGTGGCCTGCTTCAGTTGTGGAGGACAGGTGTGTGTGTGTGTGTGTTGTTGTTTGTACTGGGTTTATTCTGCTTAAAGCTCTTTGTTGAAACAGTTATTTTACATTAAAAAAAATATAAGGCAGTATTATAAAGATGAGTAACATCATTCAGACACCAAACTGATGAAGTTTGTTTTTTCCCCCCTTTGCAGCTAAGTAACTGGGAGCCAGGGGACAGAGCATTATCTGAACACCAGAGGCATTATCCAAACTGTCGCTTTGTCCGAGGTGACAGGGCTGACAATGTGTCGCTAGCTGGTGCAGCAGCAACTGCATCCTTAGCTGCGAATTCCCAGATGTCTTCAGGAGCCACAGTCCTCACCAATGTGTCCAACCCTGCCATGCAGCAGAGTGAGGAGAGGCTGCTCACTTTTGTTAACTGGCCATCACGTATCCCCGTCCGCCCAGAGCAGCTGGCTAAAGCTGGCTTCTACTATGTAGGTATGGATGCTGTCAAAGAGGCACACCTGTTCAGTGACCTTGACTGACTTACCTTCATTAATTGACCTGTGGAACTTTTTATTGAGAGGTTATGCTACTCATTGGCTGCTGTCTGTAAATAAGGTGCTGTATTCTTCTAAAGTGGCCAAAAAGGCAGTTAATGCTAGTTTCAATATAAAAAATTAATATGGTTGAAAAACCATATTAATTTGTATGTTTTTAGTGCCAAAGTCAAAAGTTTCGTTTGACTTTGGTCATTATAAGAAATTCTTACTAGGTGATAAACTTTCTGGAAATTTACTCAGAATCTTTCCTTTACATGAAGTGGTTGTAATGTCGGAGGGTTTTCCTGCTGTTTTTGAGGGAGTTCCACAGAAGTGTTTTTCTTATCGAGTTTCTCTGATTTCACTGGAAAGTCCTCAAATAAAGCATATCAAGGGGGACACCTGGTTATAAACTCAAGTGTCATAACGAAACTAAATAAAGCATCTAAATGTGATGAGATCAGTGCTTTCGAGCTAAAGGCGAAATTGAAGAAGTGAAAAGAAGAGTGTGTGTTTTTTGTTTTGGGGTTCCCCCCCCCTCCATTTCTTAAATTTGCCCAAAGCTACATACTGAAACTGAACGCTCTTTGTTTGCCCCTCCTGAAGGTCGTAATGATGACGTCAAGTGTTTCTGTTGCGATGGAGGCCTGCGATGCTGGGAGTCTGGAGATGATCCATGGGTGGAACATGCTAAGTGGTTTCCTCGGTAAATTCTGCTGTTGTAAAGTCGATTTGTCATCAGTTTTATCCAGAACACAGTGTGCTGTAGAAAAGTGCTGCTTAGGCAAATGGTGTGCGTACCTGCGGTGATTCATGAATGTTTGTGTTCTTGTACTTCTCTTTTAACTGCAGGTGTGAATATTTGCTCCAGGAGAAAGGACAAGACTTTGTTCACCAGATCCAAGCTCGATTTCCTCGGCTTTTTGAGCAAGTTAGTAAAGACAAACACATCTGAGATTTAGTTCAAACATGTGGTTTGGAATGAGTCATTAAAAAAATGGTGTTTTCTCCCTTTTTTCCACAATAGCTTTTAACAAATGGAGACAATAACTCCAGAGAGTTTGTGGATCCACCAGGTGGGTTTGGAAAAATGAAATTCTTTACATTTTTTAAAGGTTTGTTAAAATCGCCCCAAAAAGAATATTTAAGATAAGAAAAGAATAAACTTTATTGTCCCACATAGGATCTTTAACCAGCAAAATAAAACAAGATAAAAATTAATTTTACCATAAAATACTTGTAGCAAACATTCGAGTGCACAACAATGTGATTCTGGACCTTTTAAACTGAGCAGAGTCCTTATTTAAAAGTGAAATAGATGTTGGGAGGACTGAGAGCAGTTGAGGGTGATAACTCATGCTCCAGAGAAAGGATATAGGATCGTTAACGATTTTATGAGTCTGATGAACAAAAATTTTCTCATATTCTGATCAGAGAGACTGGTGCTCTTTGTTTTCTGTTAAAACTGAAGTCTATAAATGTCTGCTTTCTCTTCACTCAGTGGTTCACCTCGGCCCTGGAGAGGAGCGGTCTGAGGATGCTGTCATGATGAACACCCCCGTGATAAAGTCTGCTTTAGAGATGGGCTTTGAGCGAAGTCTAGTCAAGCAAACGGTCCAGAGCAAAATCCTGACCAGTGGCGAGAACTACAGGACAGTCCAGGAGCTGGTCTCAGACCTGCTGAGTGCAGAAGATCAGAAAAGAGAAGAGGAGCGAGAGATGCTGGCAGAGGCGATGGCATCAGGTGGAGTTGACATTGATACTGTTCTCACTCCCTTAATTTATGGAAATGTAAAATCAAAACCGTTTAGGTGTTCTGTTGCAGTGAAATGATAATCTTTCCTTTCCTTTCAGATGGCTTCACCTTTGTGAAGAGACACCAGGCAGCTTTGATCCAACGACTAAAAAGTGTTGAGCCACTGTTTGAGCATTTAAGAGATCAGAATGTGTTGAGTATGTACATTTTTAAGCCCTCGTATCTCAACAAATACAACTTTTGTCTGAATTCACATCCGTTCTTGGTTAAATAACAAATGAAAATCTGAAACATAATTTTATCAGCAAAACCTGAATCATAGAGCCAGGGTTACATTTTTGTGATTAAAAACATGGAGACGAAAGACCTGCACCTGGTGCCAATGCACAAACCTAGAGTGTTTGGTGTCAGGGGCAAATACTACTAAATCAGATGGTGGAATTTCTGGGTAGCCTCTGTTCTCAGTTTTAAATAAAGGTACAACATAACTCGAGGTGCAACAGTGTAATATGTTGTTGCATCTTTTATTTCAGCTGTTTAAAGTGTTTCACGTGTGCCCTTCTTTACCTGCAGCTGCTGAGGAGTATAGCGGTCTTCTGGCTCAGACGTCTGCCCAGCAGCAGACTGCCAGGTTGATAGAGCTCATCCTCACAAAGGGAAACGCTGCAGCTGAGGTCTTCCGCAACTGGATTCAGAAAAATGACGTCCACCTGCTCAGAGATCTCATGGGTATGTGTGTAAGCAGTTCAAATACAGACTGGTTTGCACTGGAAACCATGAATGTGATCAAACTGTAGCTCAGTGGTTAAGTACGTGCTGTCTTTTCTGCTTGTAGCTCAGTCGAACGAAGCTGCATCACCAAGCCAGGATCTTTCAGGTATGTAGCCTGAAGCAGAGCTCACCGTCCCGTAAAATTGTTTTGTGTTCAATTAATTTTACTGTTTAATTACTATCTCTTCATTTACCTAATTTCTTTTTCTTTTTTAAAAATCTCCTTTGTATTACAGACCTCCCAATGGAGGAGCAGCTGCGGCGCCTACAGGAGGAGCGTACCTGCAAAGTGTGTATGGATAAAGAGGTCAACATAGTCTTCATCCCCTGTGGACACCTGGTGGTGTGTAAAGAGTGTGCGCCATCACTGCGAAAGTGCCCGATCTGCAGAGGCCTTGTTAAAGGCACAGTTCGAACCTTTCTCTCATAAGCAGGAGATCTGCTGTCACAGTTTTATCATGTAAATCTAATCAATAGGCAACAGTTTATATTTATTGGAAAGGGTGGCAGGGTAATGGCCCACCTTTTCTTTTTTTCAACTTGTATCACTCACAAGTTTGTAGATTTATCTACATAACGAGATGAAGCTCGCAGACTAACCGTATCTGAAAGTGATGTAGAGTTGTAATGCTCATGCTTTTACTTATACTTTACCCTAAACTTAACAAGTCAGAAAATGGATAAAAACACAATGTTCAGTGCAATCTGTCTACAAATGACATGCTTGAATTTTAATAAAACAATCACTTTCAGAGTTACATCTGTTATTGTGGTCTGTTCATTCATGCAGTGGATGTGTTTGCTACTGAGATAAAAAGGCACCTTTCTTTTAAATCATGGATGCTATCAAGCCTGATGATGATAGCTGTTAAACAACAATCATGACTGTAGTGGCATTGCTTTCACTGCTGTTGATATATTAATTGTCCTAGTTTGTCAAACATTAACCTGCATGTGCCAACAAAAGTGTCAGTGCAAGCTGCCCCGTGATAGGTGTTTTCCCCACCCCACCATATGTTCACTCTTTAAATTAAGCCACAAAGAGAAACTGCATCAGATGATTACAGGAAAGTCATGTACAGTAGGTTGATGCTTTCAATACAGAAGTAAAGAAAGTACTGTGATTGTCTGGTGACAGGAACAATTACAGATGGCATAGATCAAACTTATCACCTTACAAAGCTGCTGCTGCACATCACTAAGAACAATCACACAGCAGGGCTGCAATCAGAGCTGAAGTCATGAAGAAAATCACAGGTAATTTATTATGAGAAATGATTTGTGTATGCCTTCACAGAAAAAAGATATGTGCAGACACTTGGTGCAGGGTCATCCTGCAGAAATATCCAGTTTGAGGATGCAGAATGTCTTAAAATAGATTTTCTAACATTTAATATTAGGACGCATTAGAAGTTGACTCCATGTGTACTGTACTCACAAAAATGACAGCTTAAAGATATTTTAAAAGTAGTTTTTATACATTTCAGTAAACATGCATGTGCCAATGTTTTGTCACTAGTGTTAGCTTACACCTTTGGCAAGACTTTCATGACATGTCCTCAGTCTCTTCAGCAGCATGACAAAACAATAACAAATAATGCAACAAATCAAATAATTGATTAAAAACAATACTGTCAAATTCATGGCTAAAGAAAGTGTAATTGTTCAAATAGCATATTGTCTTGTTTAGACATAGAAATAAATTGTCACCATGATGTGTTTTTCAAGTGTAACATTTCTGTATAGACCAGACAGACTGATTTCCAAAATGAGTCTGCAGCACTTAGGCTCTGCACACATGCTTCTGGGATTCATGGCGTTCACTGAGCGTGCTGCTCATGTTGAAGTTCACACTCCCAAGAATCCTGTCATCTGTAGTCAAATTTATTATAAAACCTGCCTGTCACATTCAGTTTAGTTTTAGGAAAAGGGGGGTGGGGGGAGCTTTCACAAACACAGCTGTGACAGCAAGGTATAAATGATGAACCATTCAGCTAGCTACAATTAAAGATTTTCTACATACTAAAGTAACAAAATTAAAATAATAATTTGTAACGTCACTAGGGGTGCCGTGTTTCCTATCAAAAGTATTCACATTACAGTCTGCTGGTATGAGACCAGTTTACCTGGAACTTGGTTCAACATTCACATCAACTAAAACACTAACACATTAGCTCTAAATTACACATATCAGAACTTAGAACTTTTATTGTCAATGTACAGCTGTTTGCACAGTGAAATTAGGTAGTAAGGCCACAAAGGTGTGAAAGTAAAGAAAACGATATATAAGAGAGAAGAAGAATAACAATATAAGAACACTATGCACACTATATATGCGATGTTTGGGTTACAGGAAGCATTGTGGGGGTGTACAAGGGCATCGTAATAAAATATAATAAATAATAAATAAGGGTGGAAGGGCTATGGTCATTGAATGATGGAAACTGCACATCTGCCAAAATATTGCACGGAAACAAAAAGAAACACACACAAAACAACATAATAAATAGCAAATAGCAGCAAAAGAATGATTGTAAAAAACTCTTAATTTGCATTTATGGTTCTGAGAGCCCATGGGTAAAAGTTATACTTTAGTCTGTTGTTTTGCACCTAATGAATTGGAACCTTTTTCCAGAGGGCAGGATGTTGAAGAGGTGGTGGTTAGGATGGAGGTGGTCAGGATGGAGGTGGTCTTTTATAATTGCCCAGGCTCTGGAGAGACATCTAGAGCCAGCAATGGAGTCCAGGGTGGAGAGTGGACAGCCGATCATCTTCTCTGCAGTTCTGATGACCCTCTTTATTCTCTTTTTATTGGCTGTTGTACAACCAGTGTACCACACGGGGATAGCGTGCACTGGCACACTTTCGATTGTGGCTCAATAGAAAGACCGTATTAGGTCAGTCTGCAGCCTTTCAAATCTCAGAACCCTCAGGAAATGGGAAGCGCTGCTGGGCTTTCTTCACCAGGGCTGATTTGTGGTCCTCAAATATGTGGTTACCAAGGAACTTAAAGGAGGATACCCTCTCCATGCAGTCACCCTTTATGGATAGGGGAGGGAGATCGGCTTTTGGGATGCAAGGGGGTGCAGATGGTGTATAGTAGAGGACTCGGCACACATCCCTGTGGTGATCCATTGCTGAGTGAAAGGGTGGATGATCTTTGGTCGCCAACCTTGACTGGTTGTGATACTTCAGTGTGTACCTCCATAACGTGCAACAATGCCTTGTCTCACTCTTTTGCTGTGGAGTGAACCAGGAATGGGTGAGCACTGCTAATATTTTGTATAACTGACAAATATTTAAACTGAAAATAGAGCAAGCAGATGTTTAAATCACAAATTTCCCCTCTACTTACTGTTCTTTTGTGCTCCAAAAATATCATTAACATGTATAAACTTTTATAAAATGTGTAAATACAGTCAGTAATCTCAAACTTGCTATCAGGAGAGCTTAAACTAATAAATTTAGCAGGTTCTCATCGTCATCAAAGCACTGAAATTTGTACTAAAAAACTAAAATTAGAAACTGCTATCAAATGTAAGTGTTTGCATAAAAAAGAAAAAACAAAGGGATCACAGCCAATCGTTCACAGGTTGATAATTAAATGCAAGCGCTTAGATAAGCACTAATTATTTTCTATGCTGGAGAAAAGTGCACACATTTCACTTTCAGGATGGAGCAGTATTTCCACAGCTTAACTGAATCATAAGTACAATAACTCAAGTTTTTGTCAAAAGTGTAAATTACGCCCCAAAAAACACACAAGATGACTGAACAGCTTGTTTATACAAATATTTATTTTTATTCCACAAGTCTCTTCGACTGCTGTTTAGATGATGCCAATCTGCAAATAAAATAAAAAAGGATATTAATTACACAAATGTTCATCAACAGAGTCGTCACATCTGTATCTGCACTGTTTTGCATCAGTGGTTCCTTTGAATGCATCACAGACATTCAGAGCAAATATAAAGTTTACATCACATGCACATGACTGATTTGGCTTCAGAAAGTCAACAGCGGAATAAAGGCTCACCTTGTTTGCAACATCCAACGCATCGTAATCAGGTGCGAGACGGACGTACGCCTTCTTCTCACCATCAGGCCTGCACATAAAGGCATGTTTATTCACTACTGCTCACTACAAACATGTTTAAAATGTTTTGGTTTTTTTAGATTGGTGCATCAGAAGTTTAAAAAACTGGAATCATGCTTTTTCATACTTTGATCGCTATTACCATCATGTGCACCAAATTGGCTGTTATTGGCTGTCAGATGTGGCAAATTCAAATTCATTACTGGGACATAGATGGACAGATATCAGGCAAATCATTTACCAGAAGGCTAAAACAAATTATACACACACACACACACACACACCTCACTGTCATGTCAATGCTATACAAAATGAATGGGTAAAAAAAGGGTCCCATGACCCATGTCCCCCACAATAACATCGGTTGGAAATCTTCCTGTAATATCCTGATGTGTTGGTTTGTCTTGTTTTCAGCACATCCACTTAAATGTCATATTTATCCAGATACTTGCACAGCGTATGATGAGTACATATGAAGTCAATGCTTCCTTCATGGGAATGTGTAAAGGACTGAAAAGGTCTGTATGAAGTTGGCTTTCAGCTCAGCAATGTGAGGATTTCTACCTGATGAGTGTGTTGACTTTGGCGACGTCAATGTCGTACAGCTTCTTGACAGCATGCTTGATCTGATGTTTGTTGGCCTTGACATCCACAATGAACACAAGTGTGTTGTTATCTTCAATTTTCTTCATAGCAGACTCTGTTGTCAAGGGGAACTTGATGATGGCATAGTGATCCAACCTATAAAATAAAATGCACAAGTTCTTTGGTCAGAGGTCCTCACTTAATTTCAAAGTCTCTACAATATAATTAAAGGTTAACTGCTTATTCACTATTGCTCACTACAAACATGTTTTAAAAAAAATTAAGATTGGTGCATCAGAAGTTTAAAAAACTGGAATCATGCTTTTTCATGCTTTGATCGCTATTACCATCATGTGCACCAAGGTCCATGTTTGTGACCTGCGTGAACTGTTTGTAACTCACTTGTTCCTGCGAGGAGCACTCTTGCGGGGATATTTGGGCTGTCTGCGGAGACGGAGGGTTTTAGGGCGACGGAAGGTGGGAGAAGTCCTGACTTTCTTCTTCCTGTGGCTGTGTACGCCTTTCAGCACAGCCTTCTTGGCCTTCAGAGCCTTTGACTTGGCCTCAGTCTTGGCAGGGACAGCTATGATTGGGGGGAAAGAAAGTTACCACTATTAGACAGTGGTTCATTATTCTAGGCTTTGTCAATATGGCAAAGAACACTTTGGAAAATATCACAGCACTGCCAAGTCAACCCGTGGCCCACATACTTTACACAATGTACACAGCAGGTCATCTACTGAATTCTGTAATGATTTGTAGCTGATCCAGTGAAATCCACATTTACACTGACACAAATACTAAAATAAGCATTATATACAAATGAAGCTGAATGGATCTGCCTCACAGCTATTTCAAAGTTAGTCAGTATTTACATTGAATCATATGATCTTAAGATACATGTGCTTAAAAGACATGGGAGTTTACTTCTTACTGCTCAGTATGCACACAACCATATCTGCCATCCACACAGTATTAACACCCAGAAGGCAGATTACTAGCACACCAACACGCTCTCAGGGTTTTTTACGTTACAGGAAGTATCGCTGACTACAACAGCTAAAACTTCAACAGTCA